AACTCTTTGATTTGCTAAGTAGTGACGATATTACTTCTAAGCTCTTTTTATTTGATGACACTTCACGTAAGGGTTCGCTTATTATAAAGGGTTTGTGTGAGGTTGTTGTTCTATACAAAGAAGATGTCTATGGTATTTTAGAAAGGCGGCTGGCAAAGCGGCAGACAGCCTCGACAAATTTAAATGTCCAATCAAGGTATGCTCGCCTTGCCTTACCTATCAGGCTTTTAGTCGCTCACATTCTGTTTTTACAGTTACTGTGCACGTAAAGGAGACCAAAGAATCAAGAGACGAGGAGTTGTTGCGAATAGGAAAACTGAACCGCGTTGATGTAGCCGGCAGCGGTAACATAGGAAGGTCTGGTGCTGTCGAAAAACGCGCTAGAGAAGCAGACGGTAGGTCGGCCCGAACCGCCGACGCCGGCCTTGGAGGCGTGGTCTAACGTCATGGACTCGTATAACTGCAGAGTCTCGATGCGAGTCAAGCAGGCTATCGCAGCGGCCGGAGCTCGGCGCAGGCAGAGGACACATGACCAGCTATTACATGCGATAGGGGGCTTTTGGCCTGTTTTGGGCCCCTAACGCGGTCGCGTCGGGGTCGAGATGTGCTGACTGAGTGGGGCTCTTCTGTCCTTAGAGCTGATGAGGAGCCCACCGGCGTGCTGGAGCCCGGGGCCCATATCGGCGGTCGAGACTTCCCAGAACGTCGGACTCTGCATGGAGATTGGAGCAGATGGACTAGACCAGGCTGCCGGACGAGCAGAGTTTCCAGGCGGAGAAGAGACCGTGCGTCTGCCGGGCCTAGCCGTCTGCTAGGATCGGTACGTCTGGTTGTATTTGGTAGAACTCTTTGATCCTTGGAGCCTCCGTCGTCCTGGAGCCCGTGGACCATTTCTCCGGCCGAGGTTTCCCAGAGGGGCGGACTTTTCTGCATGGAGAGTCCGGAGCAGGTGGACGAGCAGAGCTCCAGGGCGGAGAGGAGACCGTCCGTCTGCCAGGCCTGGCCCGACTTGTTGATGGATGAATGGATGCAGAAGCAGCAGCAATTGGTGGAGTATTTGCATCCTGCCTACACGCCTCAGGTGGCCACGTACCATTTCGCGATGAAGGTAGAGGAGAAGGTAGAGAACACCTAACCAGTCCGAGGTGGAGGCTCTTCTGATGGGTCACCAGAACTCGGAGAAGGCCGTCTGCTACGACCCGTCCGTCTGGTTGTCGACTGGGTGGGCCTCTTATATCCTTAAAGCCACCGACATGGCCTCCGTCATCCTGGAGCCCGGGGACCATTTCTCCGGCCGAAGCTTCCCAGAGGGGCGGAATTGTCTGCATGGAGAGTCCGGAGCAGGTGGACGAGCCCAGGCTGCCGGACGAGCAGAGCTCTCAGGCGGAGAGGCGACCGTCCGTCAGCCAAACCTCGTCCGACTGGTTGATGGATGAATGGATGCAGAAGCAGCATCAATTGCTGGAGTATTTACATCCTGCCTACGCGCCTCAGGTGGCCACGTACCAGTTGGTGATGAAGGTAGAGGACGATGTAGAGAACACCTAAACAGTCCGAGCTGGAGGCTCTTCTGATGCGTCACCAAAACTGGGAGAAGGCCGTCTGCTACGACCCGTCCGTCTGGTTGTCGACTGGGTGGGTCTCTTTTATCCTTGGAACCTCCGTCGTCCTGGAGCCCGGGGACCATTTCTCCGGCCGAAGCTTCCCAGAGGGTCGGAATTGTCTGTATGGAGAGTCCAGAGCAGGTGGACGAGCCCAGGCTGCAGGCCGTCTGCTACGACCCGTCCGTCTGGTTGTCGACTGAGTGGGTCTCTTTTGTCCTTGGAGCTGCCGACGTGGCCTCCGTCGTGGTGGAGCCCGGGGACCATTTCTCCGGCCGAGGCTTCCGATAGGGGCG